CTGGCTGGGGAATTCTGGGAGCTGAAGTCCACTCATCTTAAAGTTGCCAAGGTTGAGAAACACTGCTTTATACCCTTCACTTTCAACTTAGTTGTAGAGTAAGGGGAAAATGTTGGATTAAGTGTGCCAGTTGCTTTTGGACACTTCAAAACAAGGTACAGTTTTCTCTCCTGAATTCTCTCTGTTTGAAACGGGACTTGGGCGTGCTTGTCTACAGGTGTCTTCCTAAATCAGGCAAAATGAGTTGCAAACAAGGACCTACGGTGGAGCTCGAGATGGCTGCACTGTCAATGCCTTCCAAGGAGCCAAACGGAATCGAAAACAATTTACTTCCAGCATTCCAGGATGGCGAGTATGTATGCTACATGGATGGGGGCAGCAAAATTGCTGAACCAAGTCCAGCATTTCATGAAACCTAAGGACGCAGCCCTCTCTCAGGTTTCACTTTGTGAGTTCACCCGCTAGGACGGTTCGCTCTTGGTTTCATCTCCTCATTAACGCCATGCATCGTGGAGCATCTGCCTTCCAGCAGAATCAAAATCCCACATGTTTCGAATGAACACCTAACGGCCTAGTGGCATCAAAAGGATGAGGCCGCTGTCTTGATTTTTCCACTTTTGCTTAATTTAACAAGGCGAGGTTTTGGGTCTGGCACACTTGCAAGTTAAAAGAAGAAAAATGTGTACGACCACTACTGAACTTAAAATACCTCCTCTGCAGTACAGGTTTCCAGAAGGTATTTGGTGAGTGAATGGTCCTCTTTGTCCTTCCGAGGCTACCAAACCATGCTTTCTTCTCTTTCCAAAGTAGCACCCAACTCTAGAAGGGACTGGAGGCATCTTGTAAATGGGCGCTGATATCCTGAAACCCACCTTCTCCTACTTAAAAACAAGGCCTTTCCTCCCCAGGAATATCTCTCCTATTTCTTATTGCTCATGGATAAGACCCCTTTTGAACTCAGATGAGATACAATCTTAATTTGGCTCTGTTCAACCCCTTGGCTGCTATCAGGACATCAGCCAAATTGCTTCTAAACTGCAGTTGGCAGTTATTTCACTGGACAGAGCCTGCCTGTTCTTGTTGAGTAACAGAAGATGCATACAGAGGAAATATTGGGGAGGGGGAAATGGGTAAGGGCCCTGGATGCTGTAGTCTTCCATTTGTGCCCTCCTGAATTCTCCCACCACCTCTTCTGTCTTTTTGGAACAGCGAAGAGGTGTCTGTCTGAAAGCCTGCGCCATCTTGCTCCAGAAGTTATGTTTTAATGGGTTTCCAAAGCAAGATCAGCTTAATTCCATTCCCACCACCCTTCCTGCTTCTTTGACATGTCTGGTTCACTATCCCAGATTATGGAAGGGGACCTGTCTTACCTACCTGGATTCTGTTCAGGATCATGCAGATATTTTTGAACTCAAACAATGTTCCATGGAGTTTATTGGGGCTTCTTTTCCACTAAATGAGAAACTGTTTATCCACCCAATTGACTGAAAGTCTCCTCACTGCGGGGTGATTTTGCACACCTACTCCGAAACAAACTTTGCAGAGTTCAGCAGGACCTATTCCCAACCAAGCATACATAAAGATTGCAGCCCAAATCATTAACTCAGAAGAAGCTAACTTCCAAGAATGACTGAATCTGCAGAAGGAATACAGAGTACTATAAAACAAGACATAAATTTTCTCCTCTGACCCTCACACACACACACACACACACACACACACATCAAACCCACAGAGTTTGAAAATCCCCAGGGCTTTCCAATTACACAATACTTATTCTAAGTCATGCAGAAAAGGATGTTGACATATATACATTTGCACTGACGCATTCTTTTGCCAACACTGGATCCTCAACCGTGACTGATTTTGTTTCCCAAATACTCCCTTCAGGCCACCAGCAACACCTTCTCTATCAAAAATTGCCTCCCCCAAGACATTTCCAGATATAATATGAAAGAAGAGAACATACCAACTGGCCCAAGGAGAAGACAAGGCTTTGGAGAAGAAGGCAGATCTTGAAGCTACTCAGCAGTCGAGCCATATTGAGAAGCTTCAGGCTGGGAGACAGCCAGCCTTCGAATGAAAAGGTCTAACAGGAGCGGAGAAAGACAGGAAGGGAGGTGGGAACATTAATATTTAGCATTTGGGGGGAAAGGGGAGGAAAAGGTTGGGACTGGAACGCCCCTCCTTGCCACGGACACGTTATTTTATCACCCAAGCCTTCTCCTTAGACTGTAGACAGGAGTCTTGGCAGGCAAATATTTGGAAATAGAGAAGGAAGGACTAGATCACAGGGATGCATGGAAAAATGGAGCAGCCAGCCATCAAATGCCACAGAGTTATGGCAAACTGGTCACAACAATGGGCACTAAAGAGACTTGAGACTGCAAAATTAGGCTATTTTTTTTAAGTTAATCATTCCTCTACCATTTCATATGGCTTCTTCCTCCTCTTCCTCTTCCTCTTCTCTCCTGGCAACTGCCTGGCCTAGCCCCTGCAGTTTTCTTGGCAAGGTTTTTTAGAAGGTTTCCCCTTGCCCCCTTCTTCCTAGGGCTGAGCGAAAATGAGTGTCCCTAGGTCACCCAGCTGTCTTTATGCCAAAGACAGGGCTAGGACTCACAGTCTCCTGGTTTCTAACCCAGCGCCTTAACCACTCCACCAAACTGGCTCTCTAAAGTGACATTATAACCACACAAGGTTCGCTGGTGTTCAGGTCAGCTGGTGAAACTGAGGCTGAGAAACAGCAGGTTTTCTAAAGCCAGAGAGATCTTCTAAGGTTGGAAAACCCATTCAAGCCAAATAGCCTAACATATTTCTTTCAGACAAGGACACGCAGATGACACACACTGCATCATCTACATCAGTCTACATCATGTATGTAGTGATGCCATTATCCAAATGAAGTTACATCTCTTGCACAATTACACAAATAACTGCAAATAGTGTACATTAAACATTATTTAAGGGAAATTGTCTTCTTTTTTTCTTTTTATGTATGAGTTCACACATCACATTAAGTCGCAGTGTGGTTCATTTAGCTTATGGTATTGCATGAACTCAGCCACTAATAGCTTATTCAACAAACTGTGGTTAAAGAAGGCTAATACACTGAGCACAGCCGTAACCAATATAAATGGATATCATATTCCATTCATACCTAATTTTCTCTTTAACAGACTACTATTCCCTCTGAGATCAACACATTATTTTTTTTTTTCCAGATGTGATGGATCTGCTCTTTCTGCAAGGGGTAGAGAAAGCAACCTGTGCTTTCAATTAATTAAAATCTACTCCTCTAGAACTGCCAAAATGATTGCACACATTTGACTCATTCCCTTTCATTGTCACTGCAACGATAATGCTCATTTTCCCTGTAGTCTTGTTCTGTAATAACTTCAATTAGCACCTCAAGGTGAGACTTTGGGGGACTGAAAGTGCTCTACACACGCACCTCACATATCTCAGGAGAAGCAATGGAACAATTTTCTCAGAAACAGGATAGCCCATTTAGAAGTCTCTTAATGGCTGGGCTTAAATGCTGCACTAAGTCATGATGTTGAATAATTCACAAGTGGCTGGGGATTATATATCATGCTAAACCCAAAGCCATGGTTTACCACCCACAATCCTGGATTCACGCACCTCATTAAGTTTAAAGCCAAGCAAATTATATTAAGATGCAGGCACAGTTTCTCCCATTAGTATCTATGGGGGCGTTCACATAACGTGCTTAATTTGGGTATCAAATTAGCCCATTTTCTGACTGGCATAAGACATTGACACTTATACTGACCAAACAGCCTGGATTCCCACAACACACACACGGACGCACACACACAAAAACCCAACCCGAAGGTAAAACTAACCCAACATAGTTCATTTTGTGAATGCAACTATTAGGTTTATAACTGAGCAAGTTAAATGCGTTATGCAAACACAGCAAATCTTTACGCGTTGTACTAAATCAAAACATGGATTGTTTAGCTTTGGCTAATCATCATGTGTAAACCCAGGGACATTGCTGTTTGTAAGACGACATTTATGACTCGGCATTCTTTATGAATTTGGCGACTATGGCTTGTTCAGCCAACCACAAACTATGGCTCGCCTGATCTGTGAATTCAGACATATTTTAAGGCCTTTAGGGCAGTGACCTTTCCTTTTTTTTGACTTACAAAATTCTCTGAAGTGTTAGAGGTGTAATCTTATTATCAACCTCTGGTCACCTTCTTGACAAATCGCTGATGGTGCCAGCAGATTTTAAACTGCACCATCTTAATCCCTAGTCGGGTTAATAACCATCATCTTGACAAGCTTCAGAGCAAACACGGGGAGTTGGGGTTTATGCACAATGCCTATTTCAGATCTGAACATCCTGTAAGCCAATTTAAGCACACGTTGGATGTTTAGCCCCACGTGTTTGGCCCCTGCATTGTTAGCCCCACTCAGAAGTGGAGATTTGTGGGTTTCCTTTCTTGATCCCCCTCTCCTGGTCAACGCGATTACAAAGGCTGCCAATTCTCTCTGTGCCTCTAGGTGGAGGCAGAGAGCAACCACGGATGCTTTTGCCGGAAAGAAACAGGAGATGGCGGGGATGCTCCACACCAAGGTGTTGCTCTGAAATGCCACCTTCAGGGACCAGCCACAGGAAACTTTACTCCCTAAACCAGTGTTTCTCAACCTTGGCAACTTGAAGATGAGTGGACTTCAACTCCCAGGATCCCCCAGCCGTTTAAGCCTAAACCCAACCCTACAGTTTATGGATTATTCTCAAATGGACATAAACCATCATCTTTGGGCTTTCACCTTGGCCAAGTTGGATGCTCTGCCCTCTGCAGTTCTGTGGGGACGGTATAAAAACATCCCTCTTCAGCAGTGCTTCTGCCCATGGGGAGATGGCTCTGTGGAATCCCTAAGCCAGATGCTCCTTTGTTGCTCTCTCTTTGGGAGTCAAGGAAGGTAGATATTTATCCCATTTTAAAGAACCACCCTGGCAGAGAGCCCAATGCCTATCTGTCACTGCTTCTATCTGACCAGGACCCAGATCCGTCTTTCCAGGTTGCCCAATTCTGTGCTCTCATTTGTTGTATCCGTCCTACCTATGGTTGTTTAGCACACGTTGGTGATTGCCACTGCTATTTGTACTACAGCTACTATAATAATGTACTTTCTGTAATTCTATTGCATTTTTGAAAAGTTTTATTAAGCAGGTCTAAGAAATTTACTGCTGTGTTTCTGACCCAAAGGCCATAATAAAGGTTGGATATATTTTTCTGAGCATGCACAGATTTCTCTGAGGCATCGGGTTCGCGGCCCACCTTGCAAGTTAGAAGCTGAGCGACAGCCCTCCCACGGCACTCTGTGAGCCTCGTGTGCAGATGGAGATTTGAACCCGTCCTGCTTAACCTTTGAACCACCACTCCAATGGCCCTTTAACAGAGGTGGTCCCTCGTGGGAGGACAGAGGGGCAAAGGCTGAGATTTGGGCTGAGTTTTGCTGAGCTCTCTCCCCCTGCAGCGTCCTCCGGCACAAGCGGTCAGGAAGGATAACCGAGAGTCAGAGCTGGCAGGTTCTACAGCAGTATTTCTCAAGCTTGGCAACTTTAAGATGGGTGGGCTTCAACTCCCAGCGTGCTGGCTGGGGCATTCTGGGAGCTGAAGTCCACCCATTTCCAAGCTGGGGCATTCTGGGAGATGGGAGTCCACCCATCTTCAAGTTGCTAAGGTCGAGGAACCCTGCTGTAGAGGGCCACAGGTTCTCCACCAGCACCCAGTACAATCCCAGAAATGAGATTTTCATTTCCCTCGAGGGTTCTGTCTGGGAGAAGCACCCTACACATCACTCTACGAGGGGCTCAACCAGCCATCGGCTCTATCGAACCGGGGCCTTTCCCCTCAAACGTACCCACTCGGGGAAAATCCTGCGCCAGCATTTCAGGCAGGCCGGACTTTTCCCCTCCAGGCCCCCCTGGAGATGCCCCCCAACCCGGACCTTCATCATTACGCCGCTCCGCCGCCCCCCGCCTTCGCTCGTTCATTCATTCATTCATTCTTCTTTCTTTCATTCATCCTTTCCTCCATTCACGCCCAGCCCCTTCCAGGCCTATTTCGCTCCGCCCCCCGCCCTCCTCCCGGGCCTCGGATTGGCTCTCGCTCTCCCTGGCTGGCGCGCGTCATCGCCTTTCCGGAGAAGCCCGCGGGGCGGAGCTTCACTGGCAGCTCCGCCCCTACGCCCCCGCCCGCGTTCCGAAGCC